GAGAGAGAGAGAGAGAGAGAGAGAGAGAGAGAGAGAGAGCAGAGCAGATTTGGGGGAACGGGTTAATGGGTAGAATTGGGTTTTCACAAAAAATTCTCTCTGTGCTGACTAGAAAGAGTATATAGGGGCTAAAACACAATTATTTGATGTATTGGGGGTTGTCTCACATAAAAAATAATATAGGGGGGGGTTAGCCACAAGATCTTTCCTTTTTTGGGGGCATTGACATATTTTTTTCCTAGTTTTTTTTTTCTTTTTTCTATTTCTAAAATTACGAAATATGGGTTTTAGAAAATTTTTATAAAGGATCTAATTACCAAGTGATTTAAAAAACACGATTGTTTTGTAAACTTCTAAACTAGGATGCTCCTAGGCTCCGTTGTTTCTTTTTCACCTCTTGAAAATATATTTACAAATACATTTTAGGGGTTTTTCGATATTAGTCTCTTAAATCACTCCTATTTTGATATTAGTCCCCCAAATCTTCATATTATGATATTAATCCCCCAAATTGTATATTAATATTAGTCCCTCTATTACTATTTTCCTTTAAAAGTTTTAACCATGATTAAATTAAGACTAACGCATGAAATTAGGCAAATACCCACCCTCAATTATATTATACTATAAAAACGAACATGTGTTCACCCCTCTCTTTCTCTGTCTCTTTGTATTCCTGCTTCCCAGAATAGAAAAGAAAGGGGTTTTTTACGCCCTAATTATGATCTCGCCCAAATAACCCAAATTCGACCCAAAATTCAGTAATTTTGGTCATTGAAGATTAAAGATGAAGATCCTTACAGGATTGAAGACGAAGTTCTGCCAAAAGTCGACTCCATCAAGCACAAGATCATGGTGGTAATTATATATTTCCCTCAATTTTCTTTGGGTTTTCCCCCTGTCATCTTCTTTAAAGGGTTTATTGTGTGCTGTCAGAGTGATAGGGTTTTGGGTTTAGATGCTTATTTAGAGTCTTCCCCAAATTTAGCCCTAAAATTGGGTTCAATTTGCAAAATATGTTTGTTGCATGTTAATTAGCATGTTGAATTAGGATTTTCAATCAGCTTTATATTCACATTGTTCACGTACCTGGGGCTTGTTGAATTATGTTTGTGGAAAACATGTTTTATTTGGTTAGACAATTAGTTTGTCTTTTTTGAATCCCATATTTGATTATACAATCATGTTTCTGTAAAAAGTTGTTATGGCTTGTCTCCATAATTAATTTATTGTTCTATATTTTTCTTGTTTTTCATTACGTATAAATTCTGTCATTTTAAGATTGTTGTATGCATATTTCTGTAATGAGTTGTTATAATACTGAACTTTGATTTTGGTCATTACATGTAGGTTTGTTTTGTTGAATTTAGATGGAGGAGGGAGTTGTGGAAATTGTGTTGAGGTACAATGTGTATTGGAGAAATATACCTAGGATTGGTACAAAAAAATATGAGTTTGGAAATCAGAGAAGGAGGATTTTTCAAAACCATCCGCTTTTGAAATTTATTTTCAAAAAACGACCCATTTCAACCTTAATTTCAAAAACCGACCCAGTTGGATGAAACTGGGTCGGTTTTTGAAAAAATATTCCCAAACTTCACGGGAGTTGAACTCCCGTGAAGTTTTGTTACCGTGAAGTTTTTTCTCATAACAAAACTTCACGGGAGTTCAACTCCCGTGAAGTTTAGGAATTTTTTTTTCAAAAACCGACCCAGTTTCAACCAACTGGGTCGGTTTTTGAAATTAAGGTTGAAATGGGTCGTTTTTTGAAAATAAATTTTAAAAGCGGATGGTTTTGAAAATTTGTCCAATCAGAGAACACTAAGGGTAGATGCTAATAACACTTCACTAAAGAAGTTGGGTGAATTAATCTTTGAATTTCTACCAGTTGTTAAGTGTAACATCATGAAGTTGTTATATACAATTCCTGGAACTAATCCTAGAAGGTTTGCTAGAATCAAGACTGATGATGTTTTTATGGGTGTGGTAAAAAATCACTCAAACAAGAAGAAGCTTGAAATGTTCTTAACAATTGAGAGTGTCTCAAGTATTAGTTGGAGAGCATCATTGTCTTTTAGGAGAAGAAATCCACCTAGAGAGCATGCACATAAATCAACCAAGACCATTCGTATAGATATGGATGCATTGTCTAGTGATGAAGATGAGAATTATGGGGTTAGTGATGACAGGTTTGTGAACATGGGCAAAATTGAGGATGCTTTAGATAGGGATGCAGTTGAAAATGATTTTGATTGGGGTACTAATGATGATAAAGTGGACGGGGAAATCTTTAACTCAACACTAAATAACACTCAAATAGAGGTTGATAATGTTGAAGATAGTGAATATGATGCTGATGATTGTGTTCCAGAAGATGAATATCATTCGCTTCAAGTTCGAAGGAGGAGAGGGAGAGTGAAGATGAGTTAGGTAATTTTGATCCTAAAGAGGGACCTATTTACAACATGGATTTAGAGGATCCTCAATTTTATGTAGGTGCAAAGTTTAACGACATGATACACTTGAAAATTTCCTTGCAACTTACATATATGATTTGTAGGTCGAAGCTAAATGCTATTAGAGGAAGGGGTGGGAGTACAACTACTGCAGCACCATCCTCATCTCAAGCATCTATGACATGGACTCCACCACCACCACCACCAACTTGGATGGATCCAGAACTTTCACAAGCACAACCTCCATCTCAAAATGCAGCAATGTCACAATGTACACAGCAAGACGCCAATCAACCAAGTCAAATCATCTGAAACTAGAGTTGTTGGCCATGTGAAATGTTCCTAATTTGTGTGGTTTAGTACACACTTTTGTAATTTCCATGAATATGGGAGTACATATGTCATCTTGTTGAACTTGTGGCTGTGCTTCAAGATGTACATAGTATTTTGTCTATTTTGGACATGTACACCTACAAAAATTACAGCTAAAGACCATGTTTTAGAGTCAACATGGTAATTTTGTGAACTTGTGCACTATGTTTCATTGTATACATGATATTTTGCCATATTTTGGATCATGTACACCAATAAACACTTTCAACTGTAAAGGATAATGTTCAAGACAACGTTTCAATTTGTTTGTGGTGTTTTTATGTAATTTGGACACCTTGTACCATGTCTCTATGCAATGAAAAATCTATAAGTATTGGTATATTCATGAGATTGGTTTAATTTGTACATAGTGGATACGTTTATTTGTACATGTTAATATGGTTTTATGAGCATGTTCAAAAAGTATTTCTTGTGTACTGATTTTATGGACATGGTGTTATGAACATGTTAAAAAATATGTATTTAAGCTAAGTGTTTGCATATTTGCATATACCAACTCTCTTTGTTCTTGTTTTAGTAAACACCTCTTTTTATTCCTCATTCCATCAGCTCTAAAAACCACCATTAATCCTGAAATTCCATACAAAATTATAATAAACTGCTAATTTTCATTACTATAAATTTGCAAAATTACAATAAATTTCACTATAGTTTAAATTCAAATTACATTAATTACATCAAATTGCTAAAGTTCACCCAAAAATACACTTAATTTTTTTTTCACCATCAAGGATCATCATCAACATCAAATTACATTAAATTACATCAAATTATATAATTCTTAAAAAACAACAATCCTAACACAACCAAAAGGATCCTCATCAACATCAAAACTTCATCAAACTTCCTAGATGGAGTGCTCATCTCCTTTGAAATTTTCACCATCAAGCTCCTACTATCATCAACCCAAGCAAAATAGCCACAACCATTGTATGTTGATTTTCTATACTGTGGGCAACTATAGAATTGTAGACCTTTATTTTCTCCTTGCTTGCAAGTGCGAATTCAACATTGCAACCCACAAAAACATCTCACATTAGCCCCATCAAGAGGAACTCCATTAGCAGGTGAAGATGAACTTGAAAACTCCATTGGAAGATGAATAGGGTTTGGGATCTAGCTTAAAGAAGGAGAGATGAGTAATGGAGGGATGAGATGAATTGAAGCTCTTATATATATTAGAGGTAAAAAAAAGTCGTTATTTCCACATAACTATCTGTTAGAGAAGATGAACAGTGTTCGTGGGTCAGGGGTTTAAGTGGGTTTGCGTATGTTATTTAGGAGTTTAATGGTTTAAGGTTAACTTTAACGGAATATTCCCTTCTATTTCTAACCCAAACTAACCATAGGACTAGTATCAATATATTTATGCAATTTGGAGGACTAATATCAAAATATGAAGATTTGGGGGACTAATATCAAAATAGGAGTGATTTAAGGGACTAATATAAAAAAACCCTATATTTTAATATTTTTTTCAGTTTAAAGCTCCAAATATCATAGAAATTTGTGATGCATGTAATTAAAACAATTTTTAATATTTATGTGATTGTTTTGGATTGTGTGCATCAAAGTCTTAGAAAATAATCTTTATAAATAAAAAAAAGTCTTAGACAATGGTGAAATAAATATTTAGTGTCATGTCAACAATAAAGATGAGAATATGAATATATAAGTGAGATCCAATACAATAATATGTTACTTAGATTTAGCTAATACAACAACATGTTAGGTTTATTCCAACATCTCAAATCCTGTTCGAGCAAATTAATTTCAGGTTCTGTTTTTTTAACTATTTTGAGGTTTAGCTCTTGAAAACTACCGCTCTCCGCTTAGAATTAGCTAAAAGTTTATAATTTATTATTTCTTCTTAATTCAATGATAAGATTGGAAATGAATCAAATCGATTACCATAATGGTCATGTTTTTAATTTAAAATGATTGAATTCGAATATTAATTCATTATTCTTCTATTATTTTATTTGAATTCGATTTTTGGACTTGAATATACTTTGAATATTGAAGTAGATTTATTTAATTGGAATTCTATATTTATTGAATATTAAATTAACTAATTAATTTTTTTTTGTTTGGTTAAAAGGGTACTTATTTTGGCTAAAAAACTTATTCTTTTTATAATATTTTAAAAATTTTAATTAGAAATTATTGTTTTATTTGTGTATAATCTTGCAATTTAAATATCTAGTTGAAGAGTTAATTTGAGAACACTCTAGGTCTCTTACAATGAACATAGAAGGTAGATTAAAAAAATTACAAAAGGAGGCAAAACATTGCACGATGTGTGTGTAATACACACAAACTATAATAAATTAAAATGTTCACAAATATTGTTATAAGCAAATAAATCAAACATAACTCGCAGGGTTGGCATAGCAATGTAAGGCCCCATTGCGCTCTTGTTGGGGGACCGTCCATAGCGGACTAGTGTCATGTTCGAATCCCCTAGCATGTAAAAAAACTCTCGGCTAGCTCCAGCCATGAAGCGTGAGCGAGGATTAATCTCATCCATAATAAGTTGTGAGGATACCTCATGAGAAAAAAGAAATAAAAAACAAAAACAAAAACAAAAATAAATAAATAAATCAAACATCTAATTGTACATATGACAAACCCTTGGGCCAGCGCCAACCAGCAGCCGCGAAGTGCGAGCGAGTATTAGTCTCATCCATAATAAGGTGTAGGGATACCTCGTGGGACACTCAAAAAATCAAATATCTAAGTGTCCGTATGACAAATATTACTTGATTTTTTAACAGTTTTACGGAATCAAATTTCAACAAAAAAGATTACCGGTTAATTTTAGAACCCTCGACCGACCCACTTGACTATGGCTCTGTTTGGCAAAACTAGCTGAAAGCTGCGAGCTTATAGCTAAAAGCTGTTAAGCTAGCTGAAAGCTGTGAAATTGTAGCTGAAAGCTGATAGCTGTGTAGCTAGCTGATTGACAAAGACAAACGCTGCTTGAGGTATATTTTCAAAAGCTACTTGCAAAAGACACAATTTTCAAAATAATCTCCTCCTATTTTTGGTCACCAAACAGCTTTACTAGCTTATTGACCAAGTCAATAAGGCACAATCTGTTAGATAAGACACAATCTCTTGTTGCCAAATATTGCCTATAGGAGGTGTATCAGAGAAACGCTTCAATTATATTAATTTGAGTGAACTCCCTTTAAGTTTAGGGTACTGTTGACAACCCTCTAAACTTTAAAAACTTGAAAAACCCTCTCATCATTTCTCGCTTAACCTAACTAAAACTATTAAGTCGAACATGATTTGTGACAATCATGTGAGTTATAATGGGTAAGATACTCCTCAACCATAAAAAAATAGCGTTGTTCTTTCTAAAAAATTAGCTTTGTTCTTTCTAAAAGGTTATTTAGGTTGTTTTAAATTTTAATATAACAACATTAGGGGAGTTTTTCTGAGAAAAGTGCAATAAATAAAGAGAGTTCTGCCAGACACTACACTAAACGAGGAGATTTTTCCCTATTTTTAAAGCTGAATTGAAAGGGGATTGTTTACAACACCCTTAACCTTGAGTGTGGTTTAATAAAATCTAAAATAGGAAAATAATATGTGTATTTTTTTCCTTGCCACCAAACGCCAAATTAATTGAAGGGTTTAAAAAAAAAATATTAGTCCCTTAAATCATCATATTTTGATATTAGTCCCATAAATCTTCATATTTTGATATTAATCCCTAAAATTGAATTAATTTGTTGATATTAGTCTCTTTGGTTAGTTGAGGCTATAATTCCAAGGAATATTTCACTATTACCGTTTTTCTTTAATTGTCCGTTACACCCCTAAATCCTATAACCAAAATCCACAAATCCTTTAAACTTAAACCTGATAAGAGCCCCAGACATGAGTTCGTTTCACACTTCTTTTTCTCTGGCGGTCCGTTAACAATGAATTCATTTTCTCAACTGGAAGTGAGGATGTGAAAATTTTGAGGATGGGAGAATTAAATGGGAACATTATGATAATTAACCACCCATAATTAGTATAAACGTAACCAAGGTTGAGGATTATTGAACAGTAAAATTAACAGAATGACTAATATCAGCATATAAATGCAATTTGGACTAATGCAATAGATGAAGATTTCAAAACTAATATCAAAATACTAACGGTGTAAGGGACTAATATCTTAAAAAAACCTTAATTGAAAGAGTTTTGCTATAGACACCCAAAATTTGAGACAAAGGAGGGGGGGGGGGGGGGGGGGGGGGGGAAGTTGAGGTGTTATCTATTGCATAATGAGTTGGCCTAATGATGGTCAGCTCATTATGCAATAGGAGGGGACGTCTCACCGTTGGTCCCATATTTTGGATCATTAAGGAATTTTTCTAATTGAAATTCATCTTTCTAAGGGCTTGTTTGGATTGAGGGGAATAAGGGTGAAGAAAAGTTAGGGAAACCATTCACCTTGTTTAGGAATATTAGAAGGTAAAGTTATTCATCCTAGTTCCTTTTGGTTCACCCCGGCCCGTTTGGATAATGGAAGTATTAGAAGTAAGAAGTAGGTTATAGAAGTAACTTTCAAAGCTATGAAGTAGGAAGTAGTGGAAATAACATTTTTTTTGTTTGTTTTATATATATTTAGAAGTAATGGAAGTAGAACTTCTTCCTCTTCATTTACTTTTTTTTTTTGGATAACATTTGAAAATATTATTAGGAAGTAATTTTATCAATGAAAAGTTGTTAGAAGTAACTAATAAATTTTATCAATGAAAAGTTGTTAGAAGTAACTAATAAAGGAAATATTAATAAAAAAATTATTTATGTCATAATTAATATGCATTTCAACTACTTCCGAGCTACTTCTGAGTATTAAGGATTGAAAAAATATTTTGGAAGTAAGGATGACACGTAGGCGCCACATAAGCATTTAGGGAAGTATTGAAAGTAAGTTTTTCAGAAAACCAAACACACTTTTTTGCTTGGAAGTAACAGAAGTAGCCTCTACTTCTTTTACTTCAGCTACTTCACAATTACTTCCGTGCAAACAAACAGGCCCTGATAGTATAAAATTTGTTACCCCAAATTAGGGTGTAACCAAGGGGAAAGAGAACTCCAGTCCCTTCTCTTCCGTTCTCTAACCTAATTTCCTTAACTTCCATTAACCCCGTTGAAATCCAAACACACTCTAAAATTAGGCCTACGGGCTACTACGATTTTTTAATGTTTCGATCAAAGAATAAAAGAACATTAAATGTTTCGATCAAAGAATAAAAGAACGGACAAATTTTCAAAACCAACCCTTTTAGCATTTTATTTGCAAAAAACGACCTATTTTGAAAATAATTACAAAAACCGACCTGTTTTCAGCCCAGCGCTGAAAACAGGTCGGTTTTTGTAAAAAAGTCTCCGAAACATCACGGGAGTTCAACTCCCGTGAAGTTTATCGAGAAATTAAACTTCACGGGAGTTGAACTCCCGTGAAGCTTAATTTGTGCTTAAAACTCCACGGGAGTTGAACTCCCGTGGAGTTACAGTCAGCAATTCCAGAGAATCGAGTCTCTGGCAAATTGTGACTGCAACTTCACGGGAGTTTTGCTTAAAACTCCACGGGAGTTCAACTCCCGTGGAGTTACAGTCGAAAATTTCCAGCGAACCGATCTCGGTTCTTCGGGAATTTTTTGACTGCAACTTCACGGGAGTTCAACTCCCGTGAAGTTGCAGTCAAAAATTCCCGAAGATCCACTCTCTGGAAATTTTCGACTGAAACTCCACGGGAGTTGAACTCCCGTGGAGTTTTAAGCAAAATTAAGCTTCACGGGAGTTCAACTCCCGTGAAGTTTAATTTCTCGATAAACTTCACGGGAGTTGAACTCCCGTGATGTTTCGGAGACTTTTTTACAAAAACCGACCTGTTTTCAGCGCTGGGCTGAAAACAGGTCGGTTTTTGTAATTATTTTCAAAATAGGTCGTTTTTTGCAAATAAAATGCTAAAAGGGTTGGTTTTGAAAATTTGTCC